TAACACTGATCACAAAAATAATAGAAGGATTGGGGTTTTCCACGTCCAGCAATCATTTAAGAATTCGGTAGACATATAGGAGGATTGCAAAACCAGGGAAAAATGATCATGACATTTCCATCTTATGCGAGGTTCACGAATTTAAACATTTCCATCAACAACACAAAATCAACAAAATTCAAACTTACAATTTTTCATTCAGCGCAACCAACGAATGGCATCCCCTCTTCGTGTTCATACTGCCTAGTCTAGTCCATGACCGCACTCGAGGATCAAATCTTTCAACAGATCTAAAATAACAATAGAAACTCCGATGTCAAAAGCCCCATGAATTTTTAAGACCACATGAAACATATTTGACAATATCAAGTGAAAAAAATATGGACAAGATCTGCAAAAAACATCTCTCAACTGAAAGCCAAAATCTCTATAATACCATAAAAGTGGCCGCTCAATGTGCTTGTGATACAATAGGTGGCAGTACACATACACAAGGATAAAATTTTTGTTGCGGTCACCTAACAAACATAAATAGTTTGGCAATATTTTCGAAAATGTTTCAAAAACAAAATGAAAATGAAAAAAAAGCTTGAGAATTTATTTTCAACACATTTCAAACTATTGGTCAAATTATATCAAAACATATAAAAACATTGGTGCAAATATGTTGAAATACCTCGAAACGTTGGAATTTCAATTCAATTACTGATTTAATTCGGTCTACCTTCAAACAAAAACGTTTCGGCCGTTGAGAAATGAAATTTGGTCCTTGCGTATACACGTTGCCAAGATCTCCCCCCTTCTTATGAATTTTTTTTTTTTTTTGGGGTAGAGAGGGGGGAGAAGGGAGGGAGCTTGAACCCTTAACCTCAAGAAGTCAAATTCTTCACAAGACAAGGAGTATCATTGGACTTATGAAACTAAAGCCAATCCACATAAATGTAGTCTAAATTTGGTGGCACTTAACTATGTATCTTTCCTTTCATTTTGACAAATGTACGGATTAGTGTAAAAGCACGAGTAAAAGCTTATTTATTGGACAACGAAAATTATCAATATTCACAAATTTCCTTAGTATCCATTTTCCAGTAAATCTATTTTCCAGTTTTTGTAAGTGACAATCATCAAAGACAACAAAGTTAAGGAATAAGCATTCATTTAATAGGTGGAGAAACATTACTCATCAAACATTGTACCAGAAAATTACAAAAAGAAGATATAAATAATTCGAAATGGTATCTTACTTCAAGTAATCTCTTCCATTATATCCACCAACGACATAGAGTGCACCATTAATTTCTGCTGCAGCTGGAGCGAATCGCTGAAGGACCAAAAAGACAAACATTCAACCAAATTGAGGTTTAGCAAATTCCCAGCCTTAACAACCCTTTTTGCATTTGTGTGTGTTTTTCTTATGCAGTGCAGAGGTCAAGAAGGGAAGAAAGAAAGAAAAATCCTACAACTGAAGAATGTCCCAAGATGAACGATATATCATCAAGCTACTTTTAATCAATATAGTTTTATAAGTACTGGATAACCGATTAAAAAGGTGAACTCTTTCCAGTATTAGAGTTCCATTATTACCTGCACTTTATTAATTTGTCGGATGTTCCAACTTCAAAAGGCTTCAGTCAGGGGCCTAACAACTTAATTGAGTTTTATACAAGTCAAATAATTTGCTTCTTCAAATTAATCCTACCTAACCAATGAGCAACAGCTCCATTCTCCAAAACAAATTCAACACAAGGCTAAAGATTTTTAAAGTTGGTACGCTTAAATTGAGCTTTCTTCACTCTTCTACTTCGGTTTGCAAAAACATAAGGACGCATATCCCACAGTTATAGCTCTGTCAAGTCGTGAATTGGATAGGTGCTCCATATCCACTTGAGAGTACAGCCGATATACTTTGCAAGTAACTGCGCCTTTAGGACATTTGTACAAAGAGCTGACTCTAACAAGAAGCTAGTGGTAACATGATCTCAACCCTTAGCAACACCCATTAATGAAATAATAAGCCAAATACCTTAGTAGGGAGCAAGAGTACTACTCCAATTTTTATTTGGACTTTCTCAAGATTTCATTTCATCCTCCAATATTTCAAGTGTTTTAAAAGTGTTCATCTCAAATTAAAAACATAACATTTATTCACCTCAAAATAAGTCATATATATTGTGTGTCATCGTGCCTTTTTGTGAGTTTTAAGCATTTGTAGCATGTATAATAGAGAGTAGCCCTTAGCGCACCAGTAAGGTTGTGTGACCAGGGCATTAGTTTGAGTCACAGAAAGCCCCCCTTGGACATGTAGGGATAAGGTTGCGTACATCCAACTCTTCCCAAAACCCACAGTAGCGGGATCCTTGTGCAGGTCACCCTTTTGTAGCACTTGTAATGAAAATAAAAGTTTTGAAATACCTTTTGATGCATTGCCTGGGTGAAGATCCACCTTCCACTATTCAAACCAAACATTTCAACATTTGAGAAACATTCAACCCCATTTCCGCCGCCAATAGCAAAAATTTTGTCATATAAAGAAGCCCCTGCTAAATGTCCTTTCTTCTGATTTAAAGGAGGTTGGCTAACCCATTGATTTCTTGTGAGGTCGTAGGATTCAACTAGAAACATATAGAATTCTACCGTTACTGCCATATGAAAAGGTCACGAAATTGTGCAAGGCAGAAGAAGGACTTGAATTTCAGTACTAATACCTGTGTCATACCACACATCACCATGTCCACCACCAAAAGTATAAAGTTCACCATTCAACTTTGCTGCTGAGGCATATGGACCCACAAAGGTCATCGGGCTAAGAGATTTCATTCTGTCATGAGAAAGAGAATAGGAACACAAAGCTGGTAACCATGCAGAACCATCAAATCCTCCCACTATAAGTACAGAAACATCAATTTCCGGATGAGGTTCAATCAATGATTCATGCCCACTTGAAGGAAATGGTCCACATTCAAACACATTACACTGGTTTTTCCATCGTTGAATTTCCAGATTTGATTGAACCTGAACCCAATTTAAATAAAATTTCATCTAGAAGACCGTCATAAGGATTAATTTAAAGTGGGGAAGAGACAATCATATAAACTGTTTTTATGCCCTTAATTGTAATATCAAAAAAAAAAAGTTAAGCTAAGGGTCTTCTTTACAGAATGAAGAACACATAAAAATTCATCTAGTTGCAATATACAGTTCAGGGAGTATCATTGTAATTTACGCTTTTTTTAATGATGTCCACCTCATTATCTAGACAAAACAACCAAATTACTGTAATGGCCTCAACAAAATGACTATGAATCCTGTGGTAGGCTGGGTGTTATGGTTGGGATAGGATTTTTTAATGCAAAAGCAATGTTCATTCTGATGTCCAAAGGTTGATCACGTCTGGAAGAGTGCCCTATAAGGACAAGCATCACGGAATGTACAGTACTTAATTTTTAGAAACAGATACTTTTACAGATAAAAGCAGGTAACAAATTCAACGATTGAAAGGACAAGTTATAATTGAACCGTATCATCATCCTTATATCAAAATTAACTTGTGTTAAGCAATTAGCCTAGGCATGGGAAAAACCACCATCTGATGTAAAGTTCACTTTGAACATCTAGGATCTATGGCACAAATTTTAGCTTAGAGAAAAGCATTAGTAACTGCAGTCTGCACTAAATGAGTAACATAGAGTAGATCATAGGATTTATTTAGTGATTATTCAGTGTTTCATATAAAACGAAGAGAAGCTGCAGTATGACTCGATATCTGTGTGCAATAACAGTTTGCTGGTCATGTAAACAATCACTATATAAAGAGGAAAATTTGGTAGACCAATAAGACTTGTTGGCAGACTGTTCTCATAGAAAAATAACACAACATAATACGTAGTAAGATGAGAGATTGTACCAAATCCTGCTCCAGAGAACTAATTTTCTGCATTTGTCTTAACTGAGATCCCTTCAATCCTTCAATTTCTAGCATCAACTTCAAGAGCACATGGCAAGTGTTATTATCAGAGTAAAATGAAAAACAAATATTCAAGATATAAAATAAAGAGCTAAAGGCAATGAACAATGTAAGTTACCTGAGCTACCACAGACTGTCGATCAAAAGACTCCGTTCCCATAGCCATAGCTGCAACTAAAGAACTTATCTCCTCCACATGTACCCTGGCCGCTGAAAAAAGATGACAAGTGTCGTTGGTCTGATTATCCTCTGAACGTATCTCATGATCAGTGTCGTTGGTCTGATTGTCCTCTGAACATATCTCACTGTTCAATGGATCATCACATATTTCTTTTGCATCATCATCTGTAGGATCTTCTAAAGCTTGGCTTTCTCCATAAAAATGAGGTGTGACATGTAATGACCCCCGTTCCACATAGGACTCATCTGAATTTGACAGATTCCAGTCTGAAGCAATGCTCTTAGTCTTAGAGCATTCATCTTCCTCTCTCGTATCAGCAGCATGAAGAGTTTGAAATGAAGAGCCCTGTGGAAACAAATCACCCACCCCTCTTGGAGCAGAAGAGTATGAACAACTTGATTTCAAGTCCACAATTTCTTCATATTGTTCTGCAGTCCATTCACTTGTTTGAGTATACAAAAACTAGCTATCTTACTCCAGACAAGGGGCATCACATGAAATTCCATATTGGACTCACCTGAATCAGGAACAGTTAACATGGAAGACTGTGGCGGCCCCCAGTTGTCACTGTTCTGCATTGTACTTGAAGAGGATGAATTCTTGAATAATGAACTCCAATTTTTCTGTGGAAGGGAAGGGAGGGAACTACTCGTATTACAGAGAACTGAGGCATATGACCCTTCAACGTTTGATTTCACGCCTACCTCAGTCTTTCCACCAAAAGGAGGAGCATCCCATGAGCCCGATTGCTGGTTGACCTGATTTGATTGACCAAAATCTACCTGTGAAAGGGGCTTCTCAGCGTGAGCATTTGCTTGTATTGTATCAGGAGTGTTCCACACTGTATTCTGTAAGCGAGGAATACTCGGTGGAACTCCTTTGTTTTCAAACAATTCGATCAACTTTCTGGATTGAGTCCGGTCAAGTTCAAACCAAAAAAGGCTCGGCTCATAGTAGTTGTCAGCAATTACAGGCCCAAAATTATCTTCATGCAAAGCTTTGCACTGTCCCCGAAAATGGACTTGAACCTAGAAAAATATTGAGCATGCCCGTAGTAAATGAAGTATATTTCTTCAATGTAATGAGCCAGAACTGACAGCTAAAATGTCACGATAACTATGTCATATACCTGTGCAGCATATGGTGTGGGGTCTGTACCATTAGTAGTCCAGCCATATGGATTGATATTTAACCGTCCGGGGCTTGCAGCCTCAAAGACACCATGAAGCATTCTATCACTGTAGTTGAATAGGAACAGTGGTAAGCCAGGGCTGATGTTCTGTACATATGCAAAATGTGGAGCTGGTAAACCTGTTCAAGAATTTCAAAAGCATTTCTTTTACAAGTATTTCGAGCCGAAAGACCACACAAAACATTCATAGAGAATAAATAAACCAAGAATGCAGTGGCAAGTGGCCAACTAACCAAACAATTGCCTGGACAAGCATTCTTTCCTTGTGTTATGCTTGCATCCAAAAATCACTCCACCCAGATCGCTCTTCCTCAGATTCCTAGCAGATGCACTGCAATTTACCGTCCAATAAGGTGGAGGTTTTTCCTTCAAAGGGAGTGTCTTTGTCTTCCTCCCTGCTCCCATTCTGTTAATTTAGAGAGTGCACAAGGATCAAAATCAAGAATCTGAAGCCTTTTTGGAATGGCAATTCCACAATGCAGCATTGCTATTCATCCCACATTATCCTTTTCATCCCCAACCTTTTTGCATGCAAATTATTTTAATTTTCACTGTGAGGCAGAATTAAAATTTCCCACCCAAAGGCCCTACCATCAGATGGCAAAACTGTATCTTTTGTGACCGGCGTAGCAAGATATTCCAATCCTTACATTTTTCTCTTCTATCACCGTCTTTCCTTATATTGTTTTCTCTCTCAAGCCTCAACATTTCATGACATTTTTAACTATATATTATGGTATGGAAAAAAAACACTCTTGTCCCAAAACCCCCTAGTACAAACTATAAGGCAACTTCTTTTTTTTGGGTCAGTAGCTGTAAGGTAACTTCAGAAACTCTAAAAAGTAGAATATCCAATAATGCAATGACATGAAAACCAGCAGACATAATAAGATCAATGGAGCACTTCAGGTTCAGGGTCATTTGAAATAGCTTTGATTTATCAAAAGTCAAATTATAATGCTATCACTCAAGGTGAGAACACTAACAAATTCACTCATTTTATATGGGATTAAAAGTAGCTTTAATTCAAACAATACTATAGCCGCTTCAAATCTCAGCAACACACACACACACACACACAGATGGAAATATGTACAAGAATTGCCATTAACTTTGAAAGTAGCTTTGATCAAACAAGACTAATCAAACAAAACAATTTATAACCTAGCCACACATAAACTCATCTATATGTACACAGATACATGAATATTTATATGAAAACACTAATTTAGGTTAGCAATAGCAGTGAATAGCTCTAACTCAAAAACTGAAAAAATAACACATAAAATAATACATAGATATGTAATAAGTGAATCTACATACACACACAAATCAAACTGAAAGGATGTAAATCAGAGCCAAATTTTGTGGTCAATCATTTTCCTCAGCAATGACTTTCACACAGTCAATAACAGCCAATTAAAAATCAAATTTGAGTTGAGAGAAAAAAAAAGAAACAGACATCAGATAATCACCAAACCATGCTTACAACTTACATACATTGTACAAAATTAAATTCAAAATTACTCTAAACAAAAACAAATGCTACGAAAAACAAATTACTATTTCGAATAAAATAAAAGATAAAGTTAAAAGCTCCGCAACTTCGATGAACAAAATACACGGACATATATGTATCTGAACAGAAAAAAATCATATATTCAGCAATGCATGTAGTTAACAATCAACTTTTACTAAATAATCATACATTGGATCCGATTAATCAACACAATACGTAAATTTCTTTAAAAAAAAATCATCAAAACAGTAACAGAACTTCAATAGGTAGAAAACGTGAACGTTACTTGTTCCAACAAGTGATCGTTCAACGCGTTCGATAAATCTAAGAGGAGAGAGAGACGAACCGTCGCTTACAAAATAAAATTCCAAAATTACTCGAAACAAAAAACGAATGCTACAAAATAAAAATTTCTATTTCGAGTAAAATAAAACATAAGGTTAAAAGCTCTGCAACTTCAATGAACAACATGTATCTGAACACGAAAATCATATATTCACCCATGCATGAAAGTATCAATCAACTCTTACTAAACAATCATACATTGGACCAGATTAATCAACAACATTACGTAAATTTTAAAAAAAAAAAAAGAAAAGAAAATCATCTAATCAGCAACAGAACTTCAACAGGAAGAAAATGTGAACGTTACTTGTTCGAAGCAGTGATCGTCCTACGCTCGTTCAATCAGAGAGAGAGAGAGTAGCCTTTGGCTGTTAATGGAAGAAAAGATGTTTTGTCAGGACTGAGGGAGGAGGTTTTGCTTCTTATGGAGTGAGAATGCAATTTGAACTAAGAAGTATAAGAGGCAATAACAACCCAATAAAGAAAAGAAAGATATATATTTCTTCCTAAATGGTACGGTCTCATGCGAAATTATCTTTTTACCCTTCTGCGGATCATGTTGTTTCTGTCTAGGGGAAAACCGATAGAAATTTATTTACCTTTTTCACCCTTGAAGATTCGAATTCTGCATCACCATCGAGTGGCCATTGAACTCTGCAATTACCATCATATGGACACAGACCGTCGGTAACTTTAATAGACTGACTGCCATACCCCAATTTCCCAGTGCTTTTCCAGTTGTCACACGGCTACTGTTGTGGTACTGTGGGTTTACCGGAGTGTTAAAGTTCTGCCAAGACAAAAAAAAAAAAAAAAAGATTGTTAAAGTTCTAAAAGAAGTCAAAAATTGTTTAGATATTTTAGGTAATGCTCTTCAATTTTTTTTAATTTTTTAATTTATAATATAAATTATATTTCAATAAATTTATTCGACGATATCAAATAAACTCATTTAATAACTAGCACCATCCTTTCAAAACTATTCATATTATATCGTTGTGAGATCCCGTATTTTATATAAATATAAATGATATTAACTTGATAATATTTTTAAAATAATTAAAATGATGAGAGAAATTTTGAATCGTTGTTAAAAGAATAATCATGTAAACTTGAAGTACGAACGTATTGACTTTTGTGTCAAATTTAATTTTTAAAGCTGTTTAAGATTGATAAAGATAACTAAGTAAATATATTAATGTTTTTAGGTTAAAATAATATTATCATTGAATCTGGGAGATCCAAAAAACTTGAAATTGATGCTTAATTTATATAGCAGTTCGAAGGGGTAAAATAGTAATTTTAATATTTTGGGTGTAAATTAACTTTAATTTTGAGATAAATCATAAAACTAAATGTTTTTAGGTTAAAATAACATTAAAAATGAATCTGGAACGTCGAAAAACTTTAGGGTAGTCATATGAATCAAAATTGAAATGTTTAGTGGTAAAACTGTAATTTCGGAGAAAAATATATTTTTAACCCATAAACATTAGAATTCGGAACTGTTGGGTTTAAAACCTAAATTTCAGCTCATTTTCTTCCATTTTTTCTCACATCTCTCACCCAAAACTCCTTCACCCATCTTAGATCTAGAGAGAGAAAGAGAGAAGAAGATAGAATAAGGGCTCTAGGGCTTGGGCTTGACTTGAGAATATTGGAGATTAAGCTTGAAATTTTGATTTCTAGGTGAAATTTTTCTCTCTCTTGCATTTACAATGTGCATCTCATTTATTTTCTTTAGTTAAAGCTTACTATGTGTTGGATGACAAAATTACTTATTATAAACCTTGATTTAGTGTAGAATATGTCATGGATTGTGAACCTACATGAATAAAAATAATTTTTGTGTTATGAGTTCGAAAACTTAGTTTGATTTTATTTATGAGTATTTGGTTAAATCTATGATTTTTGAGTTTTGAAGTATTCTATGACCTTGTACATAATATATATTACATATTCTCTTGGAAATAAAAATAATTTTGTGGTGGGTTTGAAACCCTAGTTTGGGTTTAGTTATGGGTATTTGATTGAACTTATGATTTGAGAATTTTGAAGTATGTTATAATGTTATGCATAATATATATGACTTATTCTCTTGGAATTGGTTGTGTTGCTTTGAAAATACAAAATTTGAGATTTGAGTATATTATATGTTTGATAAAATGTCAAAATTATGACATGGGTTTTTAAAAAGATTTATGGATATAGAAAATAATGAATTTTAGAAAATGTATGCTTGATATTAACAGGCAGAGGGTTAGTAGACGGTTGAGCCTATTAGAGTGGGTTGCCAAGGTGACTACTAGTCCTAAGGGGGGATTGGTTGTAGTAGTGATTTTCAGTGATGACCTATGTGGCGTTACAAGTTGTGCCCTACACATTTCCCTTAAAAAGCAAGAAGGGCGATGAGACTCTATGATGCAAGACCCAAAAAATTTCCTGGGGATGGTTCATGTGTGAACCAGTGTGATTGACTACATTGTCTGTATGCGAGAAATGCATGATATTTGCTATGATGGTTGGATTTTAATTTATACCTTGTATATTTTTAATGTTGAAGTGTTGAGAGATTTTTATAAATGTTTTACTTGTTATCTTGTACCTATATTTAATTATAGAAAGTTTTCATTACTTATTCGTATGATTTGTGGAATGTTGGTTTTTAAAACTTTGTAAATGTTTGGAAAAATGATTATCCTATTGAGCGTATAGTTGCTCATCCCTTACTAATATTTTCAGAGACTAACATGTATCCTGGGATATAAATGATGGAATGTTTGTAGAAGCTTGGACTAGGATGAATATCTTTTGGAGTTTTTTTGTATTTTCCTTTAAAATTTATGTAGAAATGTTAGCACTCAAGCATTGTATTTGAAAAGGTTGTCTTACACCATTTATGGTGTATACTTGATCATGTCATAGAAGAATTATTATTTTGGGTATTGTAATGTAAAGTTATGATTTTGGATACTAAGTTGTGGTATATATTAGTGTTGGGTGTATCCAGGTTTGGGAGAACTTTGTGGGCCTCTAAGTGCCACATCGGATTTAGTTGAATTATATTTTTGATAGAGGTATGTTGTGGATGTTTAGTTAGTTTAAATTATGTTATGCTCTCATAGGGATGCTCGTACTAGTTAGTTGGAAGCCCAATTTTCAAAGAAAACTCTGCCGAAATTTTTGAAAAAAAAAAAGTATATGTTTTGATAAAAAAAAATCCAATGTTTCATTTCATTCAATTATTATTGTAAACCGGCAAAAGAATTTGAGGTAAATATTTATTTTATTAAATCACGCTTTAATAAAAATTGGGGTGTGACATGTTGGTATTAGAGCTTAGGGATTAGGTCTTATATGGGAGCTGTTGAGAAATGAGTGTGCCACTATTAGAGATAGTTAGAAGACATGTGTGGTGACAAAGAAATTATTTTTGTGTCATGAGTTTTGGATGTCATAGAGAGTATTAGTGTATTTTGGTTGAGAATGTATGAAAGTGAAAAGCTTCGAGGTATGATGATTTATGATGTTATAATTTTTT